TCCCTGCACCTCTGTGTTGGGGAATAATTGGATTGCAGGTTTCCACCCTCAGCACGCTGGAAGGCCGAGCCAGTCCCGCTGAGCGCAGGAATGGAGGCTAATCTCTGCGCATTCATCTTTCAGCGTTTCTGGTATGTGTCCTGCGCACTCCTGCCCAGCGAATAGCGGACAATGGGAAATAAGCCCCCCCAGCAGTATTACACATGAGGGAATGACCTTCCCCAGCCCAGTAGTCCTCAATGCTCTATCAGCCTGTCCTTGTTTTAATTTACATTCATGCTTAATCACGGATATTTCAAATGTACTTAGTGATGTCATGAAACAGGGTTTGTAGAAAACCTCAGTGGTTGTACATACTGCCCTCTAGTGGACACACAGTTAACATTCAATGAATCAGAGAATGCTATACAAAGAGCCTTTAATTAGCAAGCTGATCTCCACTGAAGGTAACCACACAAAGAAACACAATCATAAATGAGTAACTCATAACTCCCCAGAGATACACTTCATGGCTAACATAAAAGAATTTTTGATAGTAGCTTCACCATGAGGTCAGAGCAAAATGCTCTAGAGCAGGGTTCTTCAACTCGATTCCAAATCCAGGCCTTGTTTTCAGTTCTCCCAGGTAGTTGTTTAATAATTACTGATTCTGATTAGTCAGAGACTTCACACCTGACTGACAGGTAAAGGAAGGCTGGAAAACCAGCAGTGCTCGGACCTCGAAGACCATGAGTTGAATAACCCTGCTCTGGAGTCTAGACCAGTTTGCAACACGCCAGGATAACAGGCTGCAGAAGGTGGAGCCCCAAAACGCGACCCCAAGGGAAGCGGGAGGAAGGGGAGGTGCGGGGCTCCGGGTGCCGTGGAAACCCGATCTGACCCGCTGGAACCCGACCCCACGGCCCGCCCAGTGCGGACGAAGGAGCCACCAAGCTGACATGTATCTTTGAGGGATGATCGGAGCCCACCCTAATGACAAAGCAGTATTGAGTTATGGCTGCTGACAGACAGACTAACCCTAACCTGCGTCTTATAGTCATTTGATGACAGTGTAGTGATTATCTGGAGCACTAGGTGGCAGGCTATTACAGACAGTGAACACGAGATGTTTTTTGAGCAGTTCGATTACTTCTCAGTTCTTGGCCTATTGCACCACCAAAGCCGCACTGACTGGTGCAGTACGTCGGGGGCCGTGCTCCCACATGATCACAGTGTCACAGGCCTGCACTCCAGTGATGTCACCAGTCTAAATCCCATGCTCAGCAGAACAGTTGCTGAGCATGGTCCTCAGCCATGAAACCTGCTCCAGGGCCAACAGAAAAACGGCCGGCGTGTGTTCTGGTACCAAGCTTCGCCCTCAGAGGAGGACTATGCGAAAACTGAGGAGTTCCTATGCGCCTCTGCTGGTATGAGTGGCAAAAAGAATGACGATGTAACGATGCAGGAAAACAAGCAACAGCCCAAATAGACCTCACACACACGAATGTACTGCGAGGGGGTAGATGGGATGAGGAGGGGGGCGGCTTCCCCCAGAACTAAACTCCTGGAACGTGTCGCCCACACGGGCTGTGGAGGTGAGGCAGAGGAAGCAAACGGATCACCACAGGGACCCAGGGAACT